GGCACCAGCAGCGTTGTATTATTCGTTTAAATCCGAATGTACAGTCTGAAAAATGTTTCGAATTGCCGGGTCTTCGGATTACCAGACGCACAATCCTCTGCGTCAACGATCGCCACCATCTGAAAAATGTTTCTCGAACAGATTAGGACGAGATGCCGAATGAAATGTTGCAGTGGCAGCTTTTCTAGAAATACTTTTATTGCCAGCGAACAACGGCATTGCGTTCGGCAGAGAAACCTGCTTCACAGCAGTTGTAAAATTCGTAAATTTCGTTGGAGTACGCTTTTAGATTCCGCCGTAATTAAAAACGCCGGTGCGCCAATTAGACTCGGGATTTCTACTGAGCGGTTTTTTCTGCCGAACGCGGCCGACAGTACGCAATCTTACGTTACTTGGTATTTTTCGTGCCTCGCAGTTACGTTCAAAACGCGAGTCGCCGGTCCCACGCTCGCGCACGAAATGTTGAATATCCAGAGAGAGCTCTACGTCGGATTATTATTATTCTGTTAACGGCTCCTGGCTCCAGAGGGAGCCAACACGGCCCACGGGCTCTACATATCGGAGCGAGCGTAGGCGGCGCTTCAGCTCCGCACGCTCGGACGTCTGTGTCGACGTCCATGCTCCGAGGGGCAACTGGGAGCATCGTGCGCGCGCAGCATCGCGATTTAAACATGGCCGCCAGTTGAGTGTTGCGCACTCGACGAGGCGTAGACGGTGTTGTTGCCTGTTGTTGCCCGGCGGTCGCTGGTCTCCTCTCGCAGCGGTGAATTCGCGCGGACTCGCGTCCAGGGCGGCAGGGCCGGCACTCGACGAGATCGCGGCTACACCCGGCGGCTCAAGGACGGAGAAGCTCGTGCCTGGGGAGATGGGCCGGTCGCGCTCGCGGTCGAAGTCGCCGAGCAGGCGGCGTCACAAGAGCAAGCACTCGCGCAAGCGGTCCAAGTCGCGCGAGAAGCACTCCAACAACAAGTACTCGGACAAGCCGAAGGAGCGCGGCTCCAAGTCCAGGTGAGCAGTGGCCGTGCTCGCCGACGACCGGCGGCGCGGATCTCCGCCGCGCGCTCGCGCTTCCGCTCGTCGAGCGGTCGCCCGATCTCGTACGGCCGTACGCGCGGCCATCTTGTCTCGGGGGGGGGGCCCCCGTGCGTTTTACGGCGTGCTCGCGACGACGGGGAGATAAATAGAAAACACAGTATCTCGCAGACTCGAGAGGCCTTGCACCTCGACGCTCGGTCTCACGCGCGCCTAACCTACGTTTTCGATTCTGTCGCTGCTCTATGTTGCGTCCGGTCGCTTCAGCCCCGCGGTCCACGTTTTTCTTTACTGAGAAAACAAATAGGGGAGGCATTTGCGGCATCGAGCGGGCCGCAGCCTTCGCCGAGGAAAACTCTGTGTAAAAATGTTTATCCGTCGCTTGAGAGCAAACTGTCGCTCGGTGACGCCTCTTGCTTGTATTATGGACCCATTAACTCCCATGGGTGATTAACGGTGCTCTTGTTCGTTTAGGAAACGATCCCATTCGGCGTCGTCCAGCACCGGCTCGGATGTGTCGGACGACGTGCACATCGTCAGCCACAAGAAGCGCATGTACAGGGACAGGGATCGGAAGATGGACGAGGTGGAGAGGCTGGCGGAGATGGAACGGCAGAGGTATACCCAGTTAAATGACAATGTTCCCCTTGATAGTCCGCATTAGGAAAAGAACGAAATTATCAATAGGTTTTCCTCATAGACGATGCCCATTCATTTCCCTAAGAAAAGTTGTCACAAACATAACAGAGAGGCAAAATAGAGTGGCCGCAGGGGGCACGAGAGGGAGCGAGAGGCAAAATATTGTCCTGCGCAGACAATGTTTTGTCTCTCGCTCCCTCTCGTGCCTCCTGCGGCCACTCCATTTTGCCTCTCTGTCTGTTATGTTTGTGACACGTTGGGAACACGTATACTGGGTCTATCTTCTGTGTCTACGATTTCCCCAAGCTCTCCGTTCTACCCTCCTCTTCTTGTCTCATCTTCGGCTGGCTTTTCCTCCCTGCTGCGTATCAAGCGGAACATACTTATTAATTTTTTTGCCTAATCCACACGTTTTTGTTATACGCTGTTTTGTTTTTTTTTAATTATGTTGTCAGGAAAAAGAAAGAATTAATGAACAAAATCTTCACCACGAGCACGGTCGGGTAAGAATGTGCAATTATTTCATGGTGGTGGTTTACCTACTCGGAGCTCAGCGGTTTACCGTAATATGTGTTTTTGCAAGTAAAGAGAAACATGCTTGATGTATGCAAGTACCAAGTCTTTCCGATAACATCTCTCTTGTCGCTGCACTCTGCAAATTTTCTGCAAACTTGACGAGTTCGTGCCAAGTAATTATTGCGGATTCCAAGAGAGTCGCAACCCTTTTTTTCAAGTCTAATTCAGATTTGGCATGCTATTAACTTCACTTCTGTACGAGAAAGCGATTGAGAAAACGGTGCCCTGGAAGAAGATCGCTGCTTATCTGTCTGCAGACGTCAGCGCGAGGTGGAGCAGAAGATGGTGGAGGAGGAAGCGGCCAAACGTATAGAAGAGCTTGTACAGAAGCGGGTGGAAGAGGAGCTTGAGAAGCGTAAGGAGGAAATTGACGCGGAGGTGCAGAGGCGGGTGGAAGAAGCCAAGAGGGCTATGGAGCGTCAGATGATGGAGGAGATGGAGTGGAGACAGGCGAAACTACGTGAGGAGGAGAAACGAAGAGAGGTAAGATCTATCTGTAGAAATATTGGCCAGTGATAGCCCAAGCGCTGTTACGATCAGCAGGATGGACAAATCCTAGTACTTCTCTAGCGAGGCTGTTTCGAAATCGAGCAAGAAGTTTACCTAGAAATGTATTACCGCAAGGAGTAACACTAGTTGGCGTTATTTATATTGTCGCGTGTCAATTTCAAGGGGGACTACGTTGCGTCGAGGCTTACAGAATGCCAAGTCTGTAAGTCGGTGAACGAAGGGATAATATGTCGAGGCGTTATTGTAGTCGTTAGGTCGGACCAAGTGCAATTTGCGAATCTCTTTGCGTATGTACTTGAATATTCACGTCTCAGAGCTACAGGATCTGCAAATTGTACCGTCTCTAGGAACTAGCGCAGTCGAGTCTATTAGCTACAATTTGTGATCACAGCGTTTGGGCTAGAAGCATTGTGGTTCGCGGCTCTGTCATGAGAAATCAAGCGGGGGAGACCACACTGCTTCGACTTCTCAACATCCACCGAGGTCGCGTTGTTGAGAAGCTGTACTTTTATATTATTATGAAAGAAATGCTGCTACACAGGCGCATGTATCGGTTATTTATGATCAAATTGTTTGTACCATGTATATATATATATATATTTATATATCTCTGTACAACATTATAACCTTTTTCATCACACGATATCTGAATTGAACGTTCGTGTCAACAATTCTAGAAATTGCGCTCAAACTGCTCCGATGCGTCTCGATCGGCGGTGTCTCGCTCGCAGTTTCTAAAATTGTTGTGTATGTTGGCGAGTCTACCTGTATCAGGCTTCTTATATACTTACTCGAGCTAGTTTAAAAAAAAGAAAAATGTTCGCGTGTGCGACTGTCCACATTATCACATCATGCAGTCTCTAAGAGAGCAGAACAGAGAAGATATTATTTAAAAGGAAAAAAAAAGAAGAAGTAACAATCCCAAACTTTGTAATTTATTGAGCAAGAGAAGCTTTTCTTGAGTCTGAAATAAAGTTATTTTTATACGAAACCATAGGAAAGTAATGTTCTTCCCTGAGCAGTTGTTACTGTCAGTTGAATCGCTGTAGTGATCTATACGTTACTGATATCGCACAAAACGTCTATGTTAAATGTTAACTATAAATAAGAAGATTGAATTTGCAATCCACTGTTAATTTAGACCTTTTTTTTATTTAATTACGTTCGTACAATTAGAATTACGATGTACATGCAGATGTACTGAAATGTGTGAAAGTATCATTTTTTTTAAATATAATTTATTCTTGCATCATTTCATCTTGCTTACGAAAAATTACGAATATTAGCATTATCTCTTTCGATTTCAAAAGATTAACGCAGTGATGTTTGACAATTAATTCGTACCACGTTCCATTTTTTAATTTGAATTTCTAATTTCCGCTCGTGTTTCGTAGATCACTTAGAAATTGTAGCGAAGCATCCTATTACTTAATTTGCGTGTCAGGAACATCTAGATACGTCACAGACCTTTTTTTTAAAATTTTATTTCGTTGATTAGGAACTTATTTGCTATTACGTTTTTACGCACAATTGTGTACTTTTACCTTTGAGAAGTCAGCTCACTCGACTGGGCAACACTCCTGATTACAAATTTGTTAGAGATTATACTCTCATTGCTTTGCACATTGGATTTGCACCGAGTGTGTATATTTCTACAAGTTTGGGAACAAAAATTGGTTCGAAAGGGAGAAGTAGAGACTTTAAGAGGGGGCAGAATTAGAATCCCATAGCGACAAAGCACGACCTAGCGATATATAGGTCACCTTCCTTACTGACTACCAACAGAAGATGCCGGTTTTTTACTCACTGCTGATTGATTCTCGATGAAGAAGGCATCCCGTACGTGGTGGCGTGAGCTTCATTCAGGTATTATCCAATTTATATATTCATAATTCATTTTATACCGATATTATTATCATCGTTCTTTGTTTCAACACTTTGTGCCAGAGAGACCATATGTTAGGGTTCATTTTATAGATTCGCTAAACATTATTACCATGGGACACAACGAATTTCCATCGACAGGTCAGGCGGATGGCAACAACCATTCATATAAATGTACCGTAGGGTATTAGTTTCTGAATTATTATATACAGACCTCATTTAGAAATCTCGCCTATAGATATAATGTTACATATAACATTACACAGCCACGTACACACATACACGTACACACTTGTCACGTTGAGTTTTTATTATGCACTTATCGGAACGTTGCGGAATCGCGTTCGCGAAAGGAAAAAATGGCAACTTCATGTACGTTCTTGCATGCACACTAATTTGTATAAAGCTGTAAGAAATTCATTTTTTTTTCTCTCGTGTTTAAGTAACATCCTAAATCATTGTACTTTCCTTTGGACAGTCTGTATACAGAAAAACAGCGTTTGCTGGGACCTAAAAGGAATACACTTGACACAAAAGAAGGAACTATGTTTCGACATACGTCTTCTGTCACTCTTTGTGATTATCTCTCTTGATAAGCCATCCTTTTTTCGGAATCCGTTCTTAAAATTTCATATATCCCAAACTTTCCTGCATAAAGGTTCTTAGGATGTGTAACACTAGGCTGTTGACATAACAGCACTATGATTTCGAACGATGTAACAACAGATGGTGATCAACAACATCATTGCTTTGTGTAAACCTATTTCATTGTCATTGTAGGAGGAAGAGCGGAAGAAGCGTGAGGAACTAGAGAGGATTATGGAGGAGAACAACAGAAAGATAGAGGAAGCACAGAAGAAATTGGTATGTCAATGTTAACGTGACTGATGAAATGTCCGTGCGAAGTGATATGCAATTAATGCGTATTTAACCTCAGGCTGAGGAAAGATTGGCCATGGTTGAAGAACAACGGTTAATGGAAGAGGAGAGGCAAAAGATGAGGAAGGAACACGAGAAACGCGTTAAGGAGGAGCAAAAGAGGATCTTAGGCAAGAATAATTCAAGGCCTAAGTTATCCTTTTCGCTAAAATCAGTTACGTAAGTTTAGTATTTGTATTGTTTCATTCAGATTTACATGTGATATGTACACGAAATCTTGTCAGCTTTCGTACTTGATTCACGAGAACAGTTATAGACTGTAGCTGTGCAGGTATATAGCTATATCTATACAGGTACATAGATAAGTTCAGTAACATAAGATACAAAGCTCACCCTAATGTATTCAAAGCGATCGTTGAAGTCAAACAAGATTGAATTTTATTTGATTGTGATTATACATCAGAATCAAATAATCAGTTCTCGTCTTGTCAGATTTCAACGCCGATACAGGATGGGATTTCATGTTACGTGAGATTATGCTAACATCTGTATGAGCGAATATAAATTTTTTTTTATGTACAAAATTATATCGCGACGGTCATGTAAGTACTTTTAATTTATCAAACAATTTTGAATTTTATACATCATACTTTTCCATACGTTTGATTCGTTCTTTCTGATATAAGCATATCTCTAGCCCATGTGCAGATGTATTCCATGATTTATATACACGCTATTTGTACATCGTAGGTATTGCCGTCTCGGTAAAAATCTATTTTATTTCAGCGAATAAATCACATATATCACATTAGATCATGTTGCAATAATGGCAAATTAATTGTTTGTACTTTTAAATTGGTCGAGTGAAGTTATTATGGAAGATACGATCACATTATTTTTCTTTTCCTAATAGTTTCTTTTTGTGGACAACTTTAGAAAATAATAAACGTATGTTATAACAATGATTTTCTTGAAAGTACTGTAAAAGAAACTAGATATCTATTTTACAATTACATTACAAGATTTTACTGTCTGAATACCTATCATCGTTTTGATCTGATGCAGTATATATTTATTCTATTAAACGGTAAAATGGAATATGTTTGGAACAAAATTAAATTACACAACGCTCTTAAAAATTATAAAACTGAGAGATTTTGTACATGAGTAATGAATGTGGACATAGAACGTGACATAATCCTATCTACGTTAACCGTGTAACAATGTGTAACGCATTGACCCGTAAGAAGATAAACATTTTGTCTATATAGGATTGTATACCTACAACATTGTTACTTGTATCATAAACACGTTTTTAATAAATTACTGCCCTACGATTATTTTCCTACATCGCGAATGCAAGATCTAGCGTTAAGAAGGGAGAGGCACGAACGTGCTTCTTTATAGATGCACATGGCGATTTGTGACACCTTGTTTATATGCTAATACGAAATTGCTCGCGTTACCGGGCGGATTATGACGGAGATTGAAACAATTCTATTACTTGCAAAATAGACTTTGCCGACAGATGAATTTCGGCGATATTACTTAATGTTACTTTACAGTTGTTAGGATTTCGACGTAACGAATAAGCCCTTGCCACGAATGCCGAGACTCGTGCCTTGTCCCAAAATATTGACGCCGCAAAACGGGTTGCGTTGCTTGTAGATACATTCGAACTTTCCGTACGATACCTTTTTATTTTTACGCCGATCTAGGACCACTAACGATTGAAATTTATATAATAATGTAACTTTTTGTATAATATATATTTTCATTTCTTTAATCAGCATACCTTTCATTGCATCTTCAATGACTTCCGGATAGAGCTTCGCGGTGACTTCGCTGCTCGGCGGATGCAATCGTGGATTTGTATTAATTTCCAATAGCCACACCGAAAAGTCATCGGCCACCACGAAATCAGCACCGTACAATTGAAAGCTGTTCTTACGATTTACCATATTATCCTGCGACGCCAGAAGAGCTCCTATCAGATTTTGCTTTATTCCCGGCCTGATAATCTTTTCCCAAGCCAATTCTTCACCGCGCGATCTAAATCGGTTAAATTGATTGAACGCATAGCTTGTAATTTCTTGCAACAGAAAATATGACAAGTACTGAAGATAATCCCTGAAGTCTTGGAGATTCCAGTGACGTTGCTCGGGTAAGTCGGAATTACATCTCGGCAACTTTCGATACTTGAGCTGTACCGTCGTGTTGCACAAGTGAATGGACTCGTGAAAATCACCGAGGGTGAAATCTTTCGAAGCAAATCGTATTAAAATATCCCTAATCGGATTAACTTGAGTTATTAAACGTTTTGTTGCATAAATTGGCAAAATTAAGAAAACGGAGTGTACTTGTACATCCACACGACGAGAGGTTGTGTATTGGTTATCAGAAACCACTGCCTGATATCTACTTTTGTCTTGTGAACAAGCAGTGGTCGCTCTGTAAATTGTAATTGCAAATGTGACTAATGAATAATCCCGCTTAAAATACTGTTCTTTATTCTATATCTTGTATCACGTTAAATGCAAATGATACGTGCCTATGTATTTCTGCACGACATACTCGATGTTTTCTTTCGCCGCTTGGCTCACCTTGGCGATGATGTCGACCAAAGAACTTTTCAGAACAATTCCGCGTCCTAAGCTATCGTCGCCTGGCTTTAAAATCCATATATTTCGTATACCGTCGATCTTGTTTTGCGGTCGGTACTTTATCATTGCTTTCACTACATTGCTCGCAGACGCTACAAGCTCCTGCAAGTTCCAGAAATTGTTTAACCATTGTGTTCTGCTTTTTTTTCCAAGGTTTTATACACTGTTTAAAAAAGGAAAATTGCATTACAGCGTTTGTACGTACATTTATATCAACTTTGTCGGTTTCTTTCAATAAAGCACGCTTGTATATTACATCGTGGTACCAGACTAAAAATTGATGCCAGGCAGAAAGAGGCGTGTCGTGATCTTTGCGGTCTATGTCCTCGTGTATTTGAATGCTGAAAATATCTCGTAGCGACATTTATATAACTTTTGCAGCGCGACTAATATTGTTTACCTCATGTGTTCTACACAGCGTTCCAGGGCGAACGAAATCGCATTCACGGGGATTGTTCCATTCGGGGACCAGGTGTTCTTCGGTCCTATCGAGCTGGCGAGCAGCGAGAACCACTTTAAAATCCCGAAACATGCAGTGATGTGATAATCCTGTATGAACTCCTCCATCTGCGCCGACTATTCAAATAACTCGGCGTTAATGTAACGTACGTATTAATATTTTAACATTGTAATTCACACGTATACGCACACGGACACGCGACGCGTACGTACTTGGTAGAAATTGTAGCATCGAGGAAATTGTATGTTTGATACACCGGCTTCGTAAAACCAAACGGCTTTTTCCATATTGTTACACATGTCAACCTAAATATATCGCCAATTTAAATTTAAAACACACTCTGCAATTCGTATGCGTTTAAGAATCAAATTACCTTGGACGTAAAATAACTACCAGCGAATTTATTCACGATTATCTGATCGTTCGTTCTTGCGATAGGTCTCTTATTTATATACCATATAAAATTCGCAGGAGTCCGGAGCAATTTTTCTATTTGCAGTAAACCGTCTGAAAGTGAGACACCGGCTTTCAAATTGACTTAACGACTACGAGTCGAAATAAAACATACGACCTTCGTACGCATTAGGGGCGATTGACATCATTTTCCTAATAGCTCTTTTCTCGATCCAGCCTCTGCCCGTCATCGGTTTCCTCAGAGCCGGAAACGTGCCGCAAATCACATAGCATTTATGCTCGTTCACGGCTTTCGTCAAAATTTTTAGCAGGAGATTTATTCTGGTTTCGTCATTTCTTATCAATTTCAAATAATCTGTCAGTATTATGTTTCCGCCTGCCCGATCGCTATCTTCGTCCTCCGCTTCTAACAATTCTTCGAGGTCCTCGCGATTGCAACAAATCTCGGCATCCGCGGTTTTGGTCGTCTCGACTGTGCATTGCGAATTAATCTCCAACTTTGGAACTGTTAAAGTCAATCGCAAATCTTTTTCGCCGTTGATGGCATTTTGTGACGAAATCTACGAGTTTATAAAGCGACGATGCTAACAGTAAAATGCATCACGGAAATACATAAGTAATGGATATATCTGTAATGAATTCTCTATCGACGATGCCTACCTGCCAACCTTCGAAATGTTTCTTGATCGTGCAATTTTTCGAGGATAAAGTTATCTGCCATTTATACTGACTGTCTGTGCAAACTACCGAACTGTCACTGTCGCAATGCATTTTACGTTTAAATTTCGTGGTTGCAAAAATTGCGCTGCTAGATTTTTCCTTTTCATTCGAATGTTCTTTTACACGCACGCGAAATTTGGTTTCCGGACTTGACAATTTACTGCCAGAGCAACAATTTACTGCTTCCGTTTTACTCTTATCGATTATCGTGCGACTCGATGACCTACATTCACATTACGTGAATCCTTACTCACGACCAACAAGCGAAGATATATCGTGTGTTCTTAAATTCAAGTTTAATTACACGTTAAATACAAGATTTTTTAATTTGTGTTTTATTCGGTTAAATTTTTTTTCTTTGTTATCTGTGTCTGTTTATTGTCTTCTTCAATGACTCATTTAGATATTTTTCTACCGCACGATTTTGATAGACCGATTTTCGAATTTCATTGATCTCTCACGTTGATATTTTGGGAACGTATTAAACAATTTTTTTTCTCGTTCTTTGTATCCTTTTATGCCTAAAATCCTGGTATTCTACCCGGTCTTTTGGGCAAAATCTCTTGTCATTTTTATTTGTTCTCCGAGTGAGTCTTCGATTCTTTTCAGCACGCATTGCTTATAAGATGTTTCTTTGCTTTTGTTTTATCGCCTCCACAATCGAGCGCACCAATATTGGTAAAAGCTTTACTTGTTTATGGAAACAGCTCAGTATTCTCAGACTGGAAATTTCGCGAGCAATGTAAATTTAAATTGAAATTGTTGAGTTTCTTGATATTCCAAAATTGTTTTTTGTTGATGAAAACTATACGAATTTTAGTGGTATAATTGTAACATTTATTAGTTGTATACATATATCACTTGTAGATAGAATTGGAGAATCGATCAACAGTAAAGAGAAAAATAACGAGCAACGAGTGACTGACAGGCTTTTCGATTATTTGGTCAGGCTCAAACCAACAGCATACATGTCGGAGATGTCCGTTAGAATTTTATTTTTTTTATGCGCCTGTTTCTTCGGCAAGCCGCGACTCTTGTTCTTCGTTGTCGATACAGGGGTGACTTTTGCCGTTGGCGTAAGTAGAGATGGCAGTGGCGGTACTTCCGGCCGATTAGTCACGTTTCTTTTGTACTTCTTCACGGCGTCTCGCATCGCAGTTTTGATGATCTGACAAAGAAAGCAGGGAAAAGGGAATGCTTCGCTAAGCTTACGACGAGGAATTTGTATTAATATTAACCTTCTCCTCATTTTTTGTCGACGGTTTCTCAGGTTTAGGTGCCATGTTCGCCGATTGTTCCTGAAGAGCCATGATCTTCGAGATCAATGTCTGTCTTGGAGATGTATCCAGTCTGCTGCCTGCAGTACCAGTGACAGTGCGTGATTTTCGTGCCGGTTTATGTGAAGATCTTTTTCCGTTATTCGAAGATTTCGTGTGATTCTACAAAATATAATGGAATATATTAGTAGAAAATTGAATAATCATCAATTTTTTGAAGACGGAAACGCTCTTCTCTAAAGTATAATTACCTGGACGTTAGTCTTGGATGGAGTTGGTGACTTTGTTTTGTTAATAGACGTTGTACCCGCTGAAGTACTCTTTACCACGGTTTCCACTTTATCACCGGAATTCGATGCCTCCGAAGGCTTTGCCGGTGCAGTCGCCGGAAGTGCTGGTCTCGACTTGGGCGAATCTGTATTGTAATAAGAGAATAACTCTTGGTCGAGCTGGATCTCAAGTTCCTCGATGAGATCGACGATCACTGGCCCGATGTTGCTATGCACCATCGACTTCTTTTTCGTCTGACGATGGATAAATCAAGCACTATCGATACTCCATCTAGCAACGCTAAGATTATCTCTTGTTTCTAACTCACCATTGGAGACCTTGCGACTAGACTGGATCTGGAATCCTGATGCAGGCTCGATTTCTTCTCGCAGGTGGTGATACGAGTACCCTGAAGCGAGAGAGCTGCGCCCAAGTATGGCTGGCAGCTCGACATTCTCTGCCTATATGCTAGCTCAAAATCTCCAGTATCCGCATTTTTATCTTCTCGATAGTCTACCACGACTGTAACAGCGAAAGTACAATTTGTCTCATGTATAATAATCTGGAAGGAATGTAGTAGTATCTAGATCGTTAACTACCTTTAATAGCATCTTCCATCACTTGTCGGCACAATCGCGTAGTAACACTGGTGGAGTAGCTCATGTCCGGATGACTGTTGATCTCGATCAGCCACACGGAAAAGTCCTCCATGACCATAAAGTCGGCGCCGTACAGTTCGAAACTGTTCTTCCGTCGATCCATGGCCTCCTGACTGGCCAACAACGAGCCCACCAGACCTTGCTTCATTCCAGGGTAGACCAGCTCGTCCCATGCGTCATTGTGACCCTGAGATCTGAAGGATTTTCAGTTATAGGATAATCAGTTATAGGATAATCAGTTTTCTCGCATATCGTTTTATTAAAAAATAAAACGAGACGAAATCTGCACAAACAGTACTTGTAATTACGTAGAACAGGTATTTTAAGAAAGTGCGCGAGTAAATCTCACTGTATGATGTGACACAAATCGTACTTGAGGAATTTCTTGAATGTCGTGGCGTCCCACATATTGTCTACGGGTAGAGTAGAGTCCCTGTCGCCACAGTTATTGTATTTGCATTGAATCGCGTGATTGCACAGGTGAATCGACTCGTGGAAGTCGTCCAGGGTGAACTTTTGCGAGCAAAAGCGAAGGTAGCTTTCTCTGTAAACAAGCAATAAAGCTCGGAGTCTGTCTTGGTCTGCCATTTTATTAGCGATAATTAAATGCAGATAGCACTGTGTCGTGTATACCGCCGGGATATTTATATCCGCAAGTTTGACTGCCGGGGAGCAGGATCGCGCGCTTTGATGTCAGCAAGGCATAAATTGATTATTACTCTACTTTTGAAACTGTTATTATTTCTTACGGCCGAGTCCCGATTGTATACTTGTTAATTGTTCTGGCGTGCGCGATGTTACGGAATGTCGTGACTTATCTAAACATCCTTGATATATTTATGTACCTGTACATCCAGAGAGTTAAAGGTTGAGCGCACGTCACGACGAACCATTGCCGTATGTCGAATTTTGTGTTGTGAATCAGTAACGGCCGTTCTAAGAGAAGTAGTCAGGTTATTTTTATTCTGGATCGAATTGAAAACAAACACCTGTGTTTAATTAGCTAGCGTTCCGTTAATTATTAGTCCGAAAGTTTCATTACCGATGTATTTCTGCACGACATATCGCGTGTCCGGTTTGCCGGTTGGATTTACTTTCGCCACCACGTCCTCCAGCTTGTTTATCAGAACAATACCGCGTCCCCGACTCTTGTTCCCAGGTTTCAAGATCCACATGTTCATCATACCGTCCATGTCTATCTGCGGCCAGTACTTCTTCATCTTCTTTAATATGTGCTTCGAAGCTAGGACGTATTTCTGTTGACAAGCACGACATATTTTCAAGCGATAAACAGTGGCAGTCTATAAGTGAAGAAAAAAAAATGAGATTGTATTTGCCAGCGGATATTCTCACGTTGAAGGGCACGTTGGTGCGAACGAAGAGAGCTTGACCGCGAACAATTTGATAGTACCAGGTGATAAATTGGTCCCACTGGTGAGACCAGACCCTCTCAGCCTCTTGATCGATATCCTCGTGCGATTGGGCGCTGATGTAGTCGCTACATCTCTTGATCGCGAAGTCGAGTGCCTTGAGAGGTACCGTGCCGGTTGGTGAACGCACGTCGTCTTCGTCCTCGGCATTGACCTTGTCCACCAACCATTTCAAGAGACTCAGACAGCTTGTGAGCCTAACAAAACATCTCTTTTATTACCAACAATTGTGCGTGCCAAGTGCTCCCGCGACGCGGGCGTGTAGTGTACAATTTACTCTCTGTTTAAGTCATCGGCAAACTCTCACCGAAAGTCGTCGATGAAGGCGTGCATCTGATCGCTCTGACATATGTTGTAACAACGCGGAAACAAAGTGTTAGCCACTCCAGCTTCGTAATACCAGTGCATTTGCCTGACGCTTGAACACAAGCCCACCTGAATAATTGATTTTCGAAGAAGTACATGCAGCTTTACCTCTAATGATTCGCCGTCACGCTCGTGAAAAGCGTGCGTTCTCGCCAATCTCGCTACATCGCCTATCTAAACATCTCTATGCTTTACAAAACAATTTTATAGAAAGTCCCGCAAAGTTTTCGAGAAAGTCTATTCGCGATCAGTCTCTCGCGAAGAAGTAATTTCGCATTTATGCGTGAACTGATAGTTTAATAGTCACGAAAGTTAAATGCAGTTGACGCACTGTGACGATACCTTGGATGTAAAGCCGGCTCGACAATATCGATTGAACACAGTAGTTTTGTTATCTTGAGCAGGCCATCCGGGCCAATCGGACCCAGTGTTCCACAGGAAGTCGACGGTGTGATTGGCGAGCATCCTCGATATCAATAGACGTTCGCTTTGCTGATCCTTCAGATCGCCGATACCAGCCAGCAAGAGCACCGGGCTGGAGTCGACGCTAAAATGCTGATCGACTGAAATCATTGTTATTTTCCAAAATGTTAAGTACGAGTCGCAACGCGGAGGAGTGCTGCATTTTATGTAGTAAAGAGCAGCGGAGTGATACATTAGAGTAATTATGAAGTTGTACGTGATTTATTACCGCCGCTGTTCCTGCGATAAAATTTCTCACACCATCCTCGCTTCAGCATGCAATCGCGAATGACCCGTGACTTGCCGTAAATCATAAAAGTATGATGGGCAGCTATAGCGTCCTTCACGGTCTGCTTGATACGCAAGAATCGCTCGTGAAGGGTTGGCTCCAAAGGCAGTTCTAAAGACGGCTCACTTTTATTTTCCGGGCAGTCTGCTTTCTCTTTAAAGAAAATTACGAACGACATACGACTTATATTCAAGCTCGAGTAGGCAATTACGAATATTTCATACCTTCGAGGGATTTGGTATCACAATTTGTCGCGTCCGTCCTTGTCACCACTTCCTCTCCGGGATTTTCATCTTCGTTCTCGACATTTTCCTTTTTGTCCTTCTTGTTCTCGCTTGTACTTTCCAGATTTGAAGACGATCCATCCTTGGCGTTCATGTAGCGGGTCTAAGAACCGCAAAGCTTTTTCGCGCAGATGCGTTTCGTTAATTTTCATATGTTCTTCATCGCTCCGATGGATTTCGGCAAGAGGCACGCTCGAAGGAAACACCGTTACATTAATCTGAAACCACTTTCGTGAATATGCTTTGCTTAGGTCGAATCTGAGGATCTGAGGATCTACTGCTGAATTATACGTATCATTTCTAACGTATCTTTCTAACGTGTCTTAACATTTATCATAAAATTCTCGACAGAACGACAGAACTTGATGCAAACAACGCGAGAGTGAAGAACACGTGTTTGGTTTTCGATAAAAGTCTGTGGCGTACGACGAAACTCACTGCGCCACTTCTGATACCTGTTGAATCCTCGATGCTCTCCGAATGCTGAGCACATCCTTCGCAGATACAGAAGAGTAAAACGTATTCGGCGCGAGATCGACGGCTCAACAACCTCGGAGGACCGCGGCGGAGAGCCGAGTAGTCCGTGACTACTCGGGCGAAGATGAAAAATATGCCCGGATGGAAGTGGAGGCAAGACTGAACGACGACGACGTGGACACACGCGAGTCAGGTGGTAGAATCTGATATTTCGCAGGCGCGCGCCCCAGGGGTGTTTTAAGGCGCCCCTGTAGAAGCAATAAGATCGCGCTGATACCCCGTCGTGTTATCAGCGAAATCGTTTAGTGAAATCTCTCTCTCTCGTTTCTCCCCTTCCTTTCCATTCGTTCCACCGAGTCATTAAAAAGGAATCGATCAGTCTAGACTAACCCAGGAAAAGTTTGGATTCATAGAAAATTCTTTTACATCCTCGTCGCGCTGTCTTATGCTGCGATAAACAGCATTTTTACAAGATTGCTTCGTTAATTCTTTTTCTTGCAAAATCCCAAGGTACCAAAGTATAATCTGAGGGCAGTCTTGACGAAAGCGGAAGTGCCCGTAGATCGTTCTCGCTATGATAAGACAGTCTCTCGAGTATTCTCTTCTAATTGTTACGTTGGGGGTACGTGTACAGGATGGAGGGATATTAGTAAAACGGTCGCGTTAGCCTGGGCAATGAGGGCAAACGAAACGTTCCTGGACACGTGTGCAGCGCGGGTGGTGGTGGTGGTGGTTGAGCGCCAACGAGCAGCGTACCAGGCACTTCCGCACACCCCTGCGCGACGTCCGTCGGAATATAGGCGAGGAAGTCAAAGCGATCACGTGGCTAACCAGACCGCACTCCCTTCCTCGATTTTGCCTGCACTCTGACCCACTTACGCGGCTGCATCCTCGTGGTCGCGTGGAGAAGTCGCGGCAGGTGGTAGCCTGATGAATCGTTCGCTCGGCCTGGTATTGCTAATTACAAGGGGTGGGGCGGGGGGAGGCAGGGAGGAGGTGAGTCTTGATCTCCCTTTGATAACCGGCCTATTTTCAGCAACCGGCCGAATTCCGTCTCTGACGCCAAATCCGGCGTGGCTCGCGTGTGAGATAAGGAGACGCGCGCGCGGCGCTGAGCTTCGACGATACTCCGAGATTTTGAGGGGGTTTAGCTTAGCGAAATATTAATTAGTATGGGGAAACGCGAACGACCCGCGTGACTGACATGTTACCGTCGCTGACAGGCAGCGTTGGAGAACAGCGGAAGATGAAGTTGCCGATTGCGAGAAGCGCGATGATATGTATATCGCGAATGAGTATGCGTCCCAGGCGACACAGTATGTTCAAAATATACAGTTTAATAAATGTTACAAATCAATTTTAACCGTGAAAGCTGAGAAAAAATAACGTTCAAAATTTGATACGTTTTTTTGAATCATTTACTAATACAATTACAAGTTGTGCAAGCGTTTTATAAAATCTTTTTTAAACAATTTCATTCTTTCGCGCGTACTTTTAATTACAATGAATGGATGCAAAAAGTCATGCGGTGCAAATAAAGTGTTTGATTATAATTAAAAGTTGCATGTGAAGTCTATTTGAAAATTTTTTTCATTACGTCGTTGGAATAAATGTTTTATTTCAACGGTTTTTTGATTAAAAGTATTTTGTTTCTGTACGAGATATTTTGACGATTTAATAAACGTATTTTTATACGTTTTACACGTTACGAAAAACGTATCGGCTAACAATAAAACGTCGGCTTTTAAAATATTTGTCAAACGTAAATGGTCTGCTTGAGACATGTATACTTTTATACATACACGAAAGGGATTCTATAAAATGTATTCCCGTAAAATAACGTAATGTTATATATGCGAACAAAAAAAGGAGAGAATAATGCAGAAGTTATTATGCGAAAATTTTATGCATGCCGAGACGTATCCTTACGTGGATCTTTGTTACCTAAACGTATTTTTCAATAATTTCTTTCTAATTTCGCGACCTCATGCCACCGAGATACTATCTGTCTGTTTCTTATTTAACTTACAAGTATTATTTGTACCGAGCGAATGTCAAGGCCGCGCGACCTTTCGCACGCGGTAGCAAAAATGTCCCGTTCTCCAGTGATGTTCTCCAAGAATTTTATTCGCGTGTTTTTCATTCGTCCTTTACATACAAATTACAATAAAATTCCGCAGCATGCATTTTCTATCAAAGCTATGTAGTAAAAGAGAGACGTTGTATTTCACTTATCATGCTTGCTTTAATTTTTATCAAAATAACTTGGGCCGGTATTTTGATCAAATGTCTAAGCTACCTATTTAAACGCAATATAAATATTATTATGCAACATAAAATTAATTTTCTCTCGTTTATCTTTCAGATATCTGCCCTTTCTGCAATAACAAGTGTCTTGGCTGACAATAATATCCAATATTCTATTCAACGTACGTATATTAGTTTAGCTTTGAATTTCCGAATTTCACAGATCGATTTTTAATAACATTTCCGATGCTCCGTCGGTACATTACCATCCGTGGTGTCGTTCGAGGTTTACGCCACGTAGCCGCTGAATGTCGCTGCTGCGCCGCCGACGTGACGTGAGTTGGCACGCGTATACGAGGAGGGTATTACTTGTCGCCGATCATTAAACGATTACGGAGGACGTCGCAGACGTCTCGCGTCTGTGGGCTTTCCGTCACATTCCATTTGTATCGCGCTATAATATACGGTCGATTAATGCGGAACGAGTCGCAACATGGCACAACATATCAGAAAAGCGGCGTCACTATTGTTTACTCAGGAATGCATGAGGGAGTACTTCGACAAGTTCAATTTCTTCCACGGTATAATACACGTTCGCACCGATGACTTGTCACAGTTTTATCGCGAGCCGTTCTTTCTTTTCCTCCTCAAACGTGGCGTTTTGTTTCTAACACGAGAGCAGGAATGCTTCCTGCATTTAAAATTAAAAGAATGAATGACACTGCGCGATGGACTAGAAATTAATCTTATCGCTGTTACAAGTCGAGCTGTTCTGTGCATATGACCTTAGGACTTGTCGATAATTCGTCATGAAAATCGAGATGAAAAAGGAATTTTCAAATAAATGTACGCAATCGCCGACAGACTAAAGTAAAAGATCAAATGTTTCAGTCGGATGCTTCAAGGCGACACTGAGCAAAGGTCTAGGACTGGGCATCATCGGTGGTTCCTTGCTCGGTTAGTAGATTATTTCTAGGTACAGGGATGTCCAATTCATTGCAGCAAAATGAATAAAGTATTTTGTTTCATAACTGCGTCAATGTTGCAATATTATCAAAATTGAAAATTGTATTGCAGCTCACAGTGGTGCAAATGTATTTAGTCATACGTAGCTGTTTTGCGGTGCTTATAGTAGCTTTTCTTAATAACGTCCTTATCTCGCACATACCTAAAGTTTGGCCAGTATTGAGCTGTTAGTCGGAACTTTCTGAATAAAAAAGAAAAAAGGATTATATAGCTCTGACTTCCGACTAACAACTAACGACTCATTGCAGACCGGGCCTAAGTCGAAACGCTTTTATTTTCTTTCCAGTGAAGGTACCTCAGATTGTAAAAATTCTAAAAAATAGAAGCGGCGAGGGAATCAATGTCTTCAGCGTGTTGTTGGATCTGTTCGCCATCACTGCGATGTCTTCCTACAGTTTCATGAGTAGATTTCCATTTAGGTGAACGAATAATTTGTTGAACGCACAAGGCACGCGCCCGCGTACAAAATGGCACGTGCCGGTGTACGCAACTCGCTTGTACAAGTTAACTTGTTAATTTCCAGTGCCTGGGGAGATGGGGTATTTTTAGGGCTTCAGACTCTGATCATCGCGGTTCTAGTGCTGCACTACAATGGAGATACGGCGAAAGCGACTGCATTCCTGTCCGCTTATCTGGCGGTGATTTGTGCGGCCAATAGTGGACTGACGCCGGTCCACGTGCTCTGGACATGCCAGGCAATGAATATACCCATTGTTCTCATAAGCAAGGTACGCGATTTAATTATCGGAACTGTTCCAGAGAACATCTCGCTACTCTCGCGCATACGTTGCAAGTGTTAATCCACTCTTTTTTTTGGCGTGATTGTAGCTTGCACAGGCCTATACAAATTATGCAAACGGAAACACCGGCCAGCTCTCGGCGGCAACATGCTTCATGCTCTTCTTCGGTTCTCTCGCGCGGATCTTCACTTCCGTTCAAGAAACGGGCGATATGACTATGATAATAATGTACGTGTGTTCCACCCTGGCAAACGGTATAATAGTGGCGCAGCTCATGTACTACTGGAACGTGGACGTAAAGAGCAAAGAAAAGATCAAGAAGAAAAGCTAGAGAGGAAGTAGGGAGTGTTTATATATACAGCGCGCGACTGATAATCTACATAGGCCAACGACGTAAAGTGTGGCTGTATAAAATTTCGCATGGATGATGCTTTACGAAGTCGACGTGACGTCGGAGAGACATGAAAAATAAAGTTCCGAGAACGTTCGTAGGGGCAGCGCCTAGTATTGTAGATAATTTGGAACCGTAGCGGTTAATATAATTTCTTTCACGCAGACCGGAAGTGTCGACGTGGGAATAATATTGTTGGCGATCATTTCTATCGACGGATACGAGAAGTGAGACAATATATTACGAAGCAACACTTATTATGCGTACACGATTAAAGCCAACGGCGCGCGATACCATTTTTCCTGGTTTGCTCGCGGCAGCCAATCGGGATTTAGCCTCGAGTCGCCTGATCTAAAACTCCGCGTCCCCTATTGGCTCACGCAAAAGCAATCCAGTGGGGGAAAAAATAGCTTCGAGTGCCGTCGGCTTAAGATAAGACTGGATTATTGTTGAATGCGTTATTCTCCGCGTGCTCGCTACAGCTTTTTTCCGACGCACGTAAAACGGTACGTCTTTTGTACTTATTTTACAAGCTGTAAAATAAGAAGTATTTCGTACATCCTGTGTTATGATTTATCACTGCAAAAATTCTTGGCATGTATTTCAAGCGCATCATTTACGCATTAAATTTATATTGTTGAAGGACGTGACTCGTTCGATCCCGACAGTTATCCAAAAATTGCGCGGCTTGTATTTTAAATGTGAAAATTGATCGCTCTATCTTTAAAGTAACGTTCTATTTAAAAAGAATTTTTAATTTAATTTAATAAAAAGAAAATTTAATTAAAAAAAAATTTAAAAAGAAAACGTCCGGCAAGAACTACTCGGTCATTCGGGGCGCGGCGCGCTCGTTTAAGTACGTCGGCCGGCCGGCGCTCGATAAACGTAGTCCCCGCGCTGCGCATGCGCCGCGCGCTCGTCCCGCGCCGCCGCGCCGCGGTCGCTCCTGGGTCGTTTCCGCCGCGTCACATCGTGACTCGTGCGACGTACTGCGACGTTCGCGCACGCATTTTCGCTTTGTGCTCCTGACGATGCCTCGCGCGGCGTGATTCTCTCGTCCGAGTTCACCTCGCGTAAGACACCGGACGAGCGGTAAGTAGCACTCGCGTAATACCGCGGGCCCGAGGGAGAGAAAGGGAGAAGCGGGTGCGCGTCGGAGAGTCGATGGGCGAGATTCGGCTGTGAGAGAGCGGGATGCGTCATGGCGCCGTTCCCGCAGTCCCGGGTTTTCCACGCAAACGACCATCTTGTTGGAAAGAGGGATCGATATAGCGCGCTGTAGCTTCTCGCCCGCCTACGCGAGCGTTGTCGCGTCGTAAACGGCGGGCGTCGTCCTCGCTTTGCGGGGCCACGACGACGACGACGGTGCGATCGATCGCCTTCGTCCCCTTGGACGGCGCGCGCCAAGGAGCGCCTGCGATCCTCCAATAGTTCGGCCCGAGCGCCGCCGGACGTTCACCCGGGCGCGCGGTAATGAGCGCAGGCCGTTTTCGAGCGTCGCTGGGCAACTGCCCGTTGAGCGGGCACGTTGCCCTTGGACGTTGGGCGTCCCGAGGGACGTTTTTATGCATGAGAGAACGGTTAAGGGCGCCTCTAGTGTAACAACATGCCGCTACTGATCTGTGTCCACGACATAGGTTTTCGGACGAAACGATATAATCGGACACACGTCGTGGATGCTCTCGTAGCCCGCGGATCGAACGCACGCATAACTGAAGCGCGACGATTTTTCATAGTCTTGCAGATTAGGTTCGACTCTCTGCTGAGCGAGAATGGAATCTATGGATGCGCGTCTCGTGGCGCAAGCGTTGAACTACCATGGTCAGCAGTTCCAGAAAGTGTGGGAGGGAGAGCGCAACGAAAACGAGCTAGCCATGCTCAATCTCAAGGATCCTAGCTTTGAGATCTATCAGCAGCGGCAAAAGACTCTCAGGTACGCCTAGATCATTCCTGACGATCGCCCCGGGGGCACTGGTGGATTCGTTATCGTCGCACGTTTTATATAATCCGGCGTCTCTTGCAGGTTTGAAGATAGAGGCAAGCGTCTGAAGCTCCAACAGTTTATCACGAAAAAAGCTGACGACCTGTATGATAAAGCAAACTTGGAGAAATCGACGGATTTTGATAAGCAGGACAGGGACGACGAAGGTAATAGTTTTTCCACGTCGTCTTCTCCAGTCAGTTGCGACGTAATGTTACGCAATGTTGTGCAATGTTGTGCAATAATGCCCCATTTGTGTTCGCAGAGTTTTATGCTACGGTGCCAGCACTTGATACTTTTGTCACCATGGAGAAGTCGCAGCGCATCCGTAATTTTTTGGAGGTACATAACGATAAGAGAAAGAGAACAGAAGGCGGTGGTGGTCGGGAAATCTGACGAGTCTAATTCGATGTTATTTATCTAATTTACAGAGTTTAGTAGTTGGGGACGTAATTTTCGCGCAAGTAATGGGTAAAAGTGCCGCAGGTCTCCTTCTGAAGGTGCTTTGCAACTGCAGTGACTGTCCCAGAGTTGTTACTGAATTAGGAGTTAAGGTACGTTGAATGTATCATTGTTTCTCTTGCAAAGTTTCATATACCACGGTCAGTGTACGTTGAGTTTCACCTATGTTTGATAACAAAGGCTTTTGTATTCTGTTTATTAGGCACTAATACTAAATACGGCCACTGTGCCGGCGGTGGACAAGAAGGGTGTTACAAGAGGCTACATGGCAAATGATCTCGTCTGCGTCGTAGTCAGTGAAGTTAACGTTGAGGCCGAACGAGTTGTTGCAGTTATGAACGTACCTGCCCGGGAAGGGCAAGCGCCACACCCATCTATGGGACTTATCCATTCCGATGAGCTTCCAGAAGCCTACAAGTAAGTTAACACGACGAACTGATAAGATATTAATTGCAAGTCCACCGAATCCGTAATATGCTTCACTAACTTGTAAGTTGACTCCTTGAGTCTAGGAGATATCTTATTCACCTGATAAGACAACGAGAGCATTTTGTGATGTCACACTTTTGTTCATTGTGTACTGCTATAAGAATATTTGCACTGCGAGACAGAATATTTCTTTCTTTCTTTTTTTCAATTGTGATACATTGAGATGTAAAATTTACACCGAGTTCTTCTTTCTTTTAATTGTATGTTGTACATTATAGCGGATTTTATCATTATGTAATGTAATTTGTCGTGCTTTGTTCATTTATTCGTATTTTTCTTTTAGTTTTTTTCGTTGTATAAAAATAAAGGTAAGGATACTATGGCATGGTGGGAAAAGAAAGTCGAACTTTTAACAGAAGCACTGTGATACTAACAAAATTAGGTGAATTAGTTTTGATTCCTCTTACACATTTTTATGAATTTAGGTGCCAGACACTCTATGTAACGTAAAAAGTTGATAGTCATGATGAATTTCTAATGTGATACAAATGAATTCAAACCTTGAGCATTGGTTGACATGGCTCTATTGCGCACATATTCTATCTACGTTTGCGATATATTACTCTCAAAGCACCAGCCAGACTATGGCGCGAATGACTTTTGAAGTTGAATTTCCAGTATGAGACATTGAGCCTTGAGTGCCCAGAGTGAGTGCTACAGACGGTAGGTATAACACTGATTTAAAGTTGTTTGGTCTCTTACAAGGATATCAAGCAAAGAATTATATATGTATATGTACGTTAATGTATTCTCTTGAAATGTACACTAATATAATTTCTTTTTGCTGTAAATCATTCTGTATCATGGCATGAGGTATCCATATTTTCGTGTTCGATCGTATTTTCTTTGTCGAAGGTAAGGTTGAATAGATTTCACAATCTGTAGAGGAAGTCAATGAGATTTGAGAAGCAGAGACCAAACAACTCGAGTCTTAATCACCCAAAAACTTTAATCCTCGAAAGAATCGCGCCTTATCGTAATAATGCCTTAATGTTTAAACTTACAGCTTAGATTGACAAATAAAAAAAAGTGATGTCATGTTGATAATTGACATCACAAAATGCATAGAGATGAAACTACATCTAAAAAAAATTTTTTTGGTCCGCCTTGGAAGATAATATATACTCAGGCGTGGCTCCCAACCTATCCTAGGGTTATGCAATTTATTTTATCGCACCGAAAAAAAAAACTTGTAAAAACCGAAACCACACCATCGATCGATGATAGGCCGTGTGCTTTTGTGTTGAGAAAAAAAATCTTCTGATTACAAAATACTAGAAATATGCGTCTTAACGGTGAAAGGTGAGAGACGAGTTTACATACAGGTTGTTTACCAATGTAAATTTATAACAATGAGATTATTTCTGCTAATAAAAGGGAATCTTACCTTCTGCACCGTATCCCTGTTTCGGACCCCTGCTGCTTCTTAACGGTACAAACGGTAGATTTTGAACGACCTTAATGCCAAAAGGTGCACAATTGTCTGTACACGATGCAATTAAAAAGAACTGATCAATTCATTATTTCAAGCACTTTTGACATTAGTATCGTATCATTGATTAATACATGCAGATCGAAGTGAAGCATTGTCCAGGAATAGATGAATAATTAAACTGTTGTATGTGTGTATGGGAAGACCGCAACAAATGCAATGCACGCATAAATATGTATGTGCTTACAAAGCAGAAAAGTATATGGAATACGATGAGGTGTTGGAGAGAGCAGGCGCACAACGAGTTGCCAGAGAGGCGATATTATTTACCGACAGGATCGATAAGAACTTGGCTGTCATGATTATCAAGTCTTTGGTTTTACCGTTAACGAAGTAGCTTTGGTTTCCTCTTCTTTGGCAAAGGTCACGATGATTTCTACAATGTTTAATAACCAGGCATTTTTTTCTGTGGTGTAGGAAAGCGATCGACAACAAAGGTCAGAGTTATGAAGCGCTGTTGGAGAATAGTACTGGCTTCAACAATCCAAACAACATAAAATATCTGTGCGACTTAATCGGTCTTGGACAAGAGAATCATTCCAATATGGTTGGATTGAGGTAAGAAACGTCGCTGGAAAATTTAGTAATGTAAATATACCAGGTATCTCATTTTAAATGATCCACGCAAATATCTAAAAAAATATGAAAGATACGGAAAAACGTTTCAAGCAAAAGTTCGGTTCGAAGGGACACAAAAGGTGGTGCCATTTACTCGACCTTGGAGTCATTTGAAGGTCACCTTTAATTTTTTATTTCACCTTTAAGTTTTTCCATATCTTTCATATCTTTGGAGATATTTGCGTGGATCATTTAAAACGAGATACCTTGTATAAGCTCCATTTTTTCTATATTATGCTTGATTACGTTCATTTTTTGATGCGCAGGGAGAGATTTCCGCCAAATGAATATGCAACTGAATTGCGACAAACACAAGCGAGCAAGTGGGCATTCCGAAGTGTCGCTGAGGGTATAGATCATTTCAAGGCTGGTCGTCATTCCGAAGCTTTTCAGTGCCTCAACAAAGCGCTCACGGTTGATCCTCGCAACGTCGAGGGCTTGGTCGCTCGAGGAGCATTGTAAGTTCTTAATTGATGGTTGCCTTCGTATTTACATCGGTGCTAGGGAAATCGAAACTCGTTTGGCATTCTTTTATTATAATTTGAAAAGTAATTGAGTCATTATTACAATATTTTTATTTCTGAAAATTTTCTGACTTATACAGATGACTAATTTGATCAATTTGCCTTAAATTTGATAGTTTTATTATTAATGTGTCGATATATGCACGGAAGTTTTTAATGTATTACTTGGTATTACAGATATGCAAATAGCGGAAGCTTCAGGAAGGCTATTGACGACTTTGAGACAGCCTTGAAATTAAATCAAACGCATACGAATGCTCGCAAGTATATGGCAGAAACATTGGTTGCGCTCGGACGCAGTTACGAAGACGAGAAGAAATACGACGATGCCCAGAAAGCATACGAGAACTGCTTGGCCATTGCACCGTACCACGAGGAAGCGCGAAATTCCATTGAATACATAAAATCAAAGACTCTCACAGCGTCACTGAATCCTTTGGATACCTTTAAGAACTTTGAAGCCGAGAATGTCGCTGCAGAAAATAAAAAAGATAAAAAGAAACGCAAAAAGGAGAGGAAATCTAGATCCAAGAAGAGACAAAGATGGAGCTCCAGCTCGAGTTCTTCATCCACTGGATCTTCGACCTCTTCGAGCTCAGACTCTAGCAGCTCGTCGTCATCGGGAAGTTCACGATCAGCATCCCGTTCGCCAAACCGTAAACGCAAACATAAGAAAGATCATCGCAGTTCGCTTTCACCACTTAGCAAACGGATGGCTCAGTATAACAATCCACCCGCTGCAACCGCCACCACTCACGATACTATCGCACCAGCCTCTTACACCGCAAATGCACGCGAGAAAGTGGACGACTATGAAAGCAAAGTACGCAAGTTTCTTGAACAGACCAAGGACGATTCTGATTACGAAGATAAGGCAAGTATAATTTCAAATGCAACATGAAAATTAAAGTAACGCAAGATCACTTTTGTATGTTCGCGAACAGGTAAGGAAGTTCTTGGATGAGACAAAAAGATGGAAGAAAGAAAGAGAAAAGGAAAAGAAACATTCTGAGAGTGAAAAGATGAAGAAAAAGAAGAAGGAAAAGAAGGGAAAAGATAAGGAAAAGGAGGACAAGAAGAGTCGGAAGAAGAAGAAGAAGGAAGAACGCAAAAAGCGTAAAAACAAGGACAAGCTCGAACGAGATTTAGAAGCGTTGAAAAAGTCGTCTTTGCCGGACTTGGAACAATTAGAGTCCAAGCTTAATGCATATTATGCGAAAGTTGAGAAAGACTGTGCGGCGCTCAAAAGGTTGGAACCATTGTTGGGACTCTTTGATAGTAACAAATTTAATATTTCTTTTATTATCTTCCAGTTAAGCAGTTTGACTTAAACTCGCGATCTATTTTTGTTTACGCTGTTTTCATATCCTCAGATAACGCAAATGAACGGAAATCACGCGGCCGTCATCGTATTCTACTTGTGTTTTTATATTTACTAGGTATGTAGCACAGTATAATGACATACCTTCCCCTCTTAGCAACGCGGAGAAGCTCGCCGAAAGTTCACGGAGGGAAGAAGAGCTGCGCAGAGAGAGGGAGAGAGACGAAGCTTCGAAGGCATATCACGAGCGGGAATCCAGGATGCCAATGACTGCGCAACAGAGAAAAGGTGTGTACGAAAGTAAAAATAAAGCGTAAGCTGTATATTGGAGTACACTGAATACAATAATATAAAAATCTTGTCATAATCGTTTGTTGCAGAAATCCAGAGGAAACCACTAACGGACATATTTGAGCAAGAATCCCAATTGATCCATCCCGAACCGAAACTCCCTACACTGGACACCGCTGCGTTAAATGCAAAGTGGAAAGCTGCGCAAGCTGCTAGGTAAATAATCTTTAGACATATCAAATCTGACGATAAACATAATTTGCAGTATATAAGATTTTTCGTTATTTTATTTAGCCGTGAATTCACATTCGCGCATGGTTCCAGACAAAAGGACGTACCTTCGCAAAAGTGGCAAGACGTCGCGCCGGAGACTAAGAAGGTACAATCTAATGTCTTCGTGGACAGCGACGAGGACGATGACAATGAGCTGGAGGAGAGATTGCAACGTGCGGCTCTTGAAAAGTCTTTGAACATACGGAAGCAAATGCAGCGCGAGCTTGCCGAGAAGAGAGCAGCACCGCCACAACCTACACCGACACCGCCGCCGCCACTGCCGAAAGAGCCCCCGATACCAAAGCAAGCGCCCGTCAAGTATCCTACGCCGCAACCGCAGAACAAGTTCCAGTCGTACAAGGATACCGCTATGTCTGTGTCACAGTCTACACCGGCCAAGTTTGGCTCCAACAACAATCTGGGCGGCAAGTTTCAACCGATCGGTCAGAATAGCGGAGCGGGACATCCGCCGGAGCCACCGCGTCCTCCACCAACGGCGAAGAACCAGTCTCAAGCCAAAGGTCCGAGAACCGATTCGGATAGTGAAAACGAACGTGGCCATCGACAAAGTCCTAAGAAACGCGACTCGAGCAGGGGCGGCATGAATAAGCGCATGAGCAGGGATCGCCCGGCGAAACGTTCACGCAGTCGATCTCGAAGTGCCTCCAGTTCCGGATCGTCTAGGTCTCGGTCGCCGAGACGAAGCCGCTCGCGCTCATATTCGAATCGGCGCTCCGGCAGTTACGAGAGGAAGTACAGTAGGTCTCCTTCGGGTACGTACAGCAGATCGCGATCACGCTCAAGATCGAGGTCGTACACCAGAAGTCGTAGTCGTAGTAGGTCTGGCGACCGGGGTTACTATCGCAAGAGGCAATTTCGACCATACAATAATCGCGGCACGTACTACAAGCCACGCTTCCAAGGCTTTAACAATCCGAATCATCGTGGCGGCGGCAACAATTTCCAGAATCGCAACCGCTTCTACAACAATCAGCATAACAATCGTTTCGGCAATCGTCGTGGCGGTGGTTTCAACAATCGTGGCGGTCGTGGCAACCGCGGTAATCGTGGCGGCAGGTTCTTTCACGGCAAACAAGGCTTTCGTGATTTCCGCGACAGGCGGGACTTCAGGGACCGCCGTGCCTCGCGCGATCGATACAGCGATCGCAGCTACTCGCCCGATCCGATGAGGAAGGTTGACGAAGCGAAAGAGAAGATCAACAAGATGCTCGAGGGAGGCGACGACGGCGATCATCAACAGGGTGAAAGCGGTAGCACGACCGTACCGCCTAATAAGAGACAAGCCGGGCCCTTGAGCGAAGGAGAAGAGAGAGACGACGACGACTATGAGAGGTGGGGAGAGGGAGAGGGGGGCGACGCAGCCAGCACTAAGGTTGGTTAGACTTCGCGTAGGTTTTCGGCCTACGAAAGCGATCAGCTCATCTATACAATGACGATCACGATAACCCGATTGATGATAAAAGCGAGGAATATATAACACGAAGAAAGTGACGATAATGATGATGATGATGATCAGCCACACGCGCGAGGGAACACTAGCCACGAGCCAACTAACTCTCGTTTGTTGCCAGAATGAAGGGGTCAGACCTGTCGACGATAACCTGGATGGAAAGGAATACTTCATTGAGCGCATGAAACAGCGAAGCAAGACCGTTTTAATCCAGAGAGCCATTGCTGCTAAAATTTGGTAGTTACGATCTGTTACCACCACCGTCGCTGCTTCTCTGTGATATAGTCGCCTTCCTTCCGTCGCCCGTGCTCTGAGTAGTCGACCGATTGGCACGAGGCACGTCGAGACACCTTCGTAGCCTTTCAGTGCCGATCTCTTCTATTGTGTCACAAGTCGTAACTATTTGCAACGGTCAAAATTATCATTTTTTAGACCTTATCTTAATTTTGTTTTCAAGTTAAAATTAATATGATTTAAATGTGAGTCGAATTAATCTAAATGAGTACGCAAACTCTACGTACACAAATGTCTACTACAATGATTTGCTTGTCAAGTTTAACGGACGCTTCGAGAAATAATTCTTGAGAATGTTTTGAGTGAAAAAAAAAACTTGTGTCAATATAAGTCATAAATATTTAGTTTAAATGTTTAGTTAGTTAATATTAATGTATTCATATTTACTCTACATGGTACGATAGCAATATTGTTCTTAGTTCATTAATACGCATTAAGTATTCGATTATAAGAGGCTGCACAATGTACGATGTGTGGCAAGTGGCTTTTCATTATCATTCGTTGTCGGAAACGAATGTTCACCCTCTTCTTTTTCGTTCTTTCCGATAGTGTACATTTTTGTATATTGGAGAAACATTCGGAACTAGGCAGGCAAAATTGTTCAAGGGAGGGAAGTGCATGAATTTCTGTTAAAAGAAAACAAAACTCCGGTGAGATCTAAGCAGGTCATCGCTTGCATATTCGAATGCCTAACAGCAGAACACTTTCATTGTATTTGATCATTGTAATAATTATACTTAAATATAATTAAAATAATCCTGGTAACAACTAAAGACAAGACACTAGCGACGTAAGCTCCTCTAGCTCGAACATCTTGGTAGAACGAATCGCTAAGCTCCGCAGTACAGTTGTTTACTTTGATCTGATGCTACGGTTTTCTTATGGAATAAGATATTGTATGTTGTACGTAAACGAGTTGGCTGTACAATTGAAAGTCCCACAAATATATAACACTGCAAGAAAAAAAAAGCCTGCAAAGACTCGTCGATTTCCCGTCGCCGGAAATGAACGCGTATCATCGTCCTGCGTGCCCGAGTATATCTAACGGCCCTTTTAGCCACGATTTATGGCGCACCGGTATCTGCGTGCGGGAAAACTGGTTGCGGCGTTTCGATATCGAGGGGGGCCCTCGTTACCAGTTTGATATGCCGGCGCGAGTACTTAAAGCCCCGCAAAACTACGAACGACACTGCTTTTCGTACGCGTCTCAAGTTGTTGCGAGCGCAGGATGGGACTCCTCGTACTTTTCGCTCTCGCCGTTCTCGTCGGCGCTCATTGTTCCGGCGATCTGAACGACGCATCCCTGGACTCCCTGGAGGCCGGAGAGAGTGAGTTGTACAGCTTCTTTTTTTTTTTTCCTGTCGGGCCGTTTCTTTTCCACGCCTGACACGGGGGATTCTGACCTTCTAGACGTAGATTATCCGAGCTATCGGGACTTCGACGCATCCCTCGTCGAGGAATGCGGGGAGCACGAGGAGTACAGCGAGTGTTCCGGGGACCCGAGCTGTCGGAAGACATGCGAGAATGCGGACCGCTGGAGGACGACGGCTTGCGCCGGCACGAAGATCTGTATTCGGGGCTGCGTCTGCGAGGACGGCTACGCGCGGGACGATCGCGACGTCTGCGTCAGGGAGACCGACTGTCCCCGAGCGCGCGGCGTTAATTCCGCTAACTAGAGCGGCTAGAACGTGGCTGTTCACTCTCGCCGAGTTTTTCGTCAAGCGTCTAGGAGCGTCTCCTTTGAGGCCACTCGCGCGCGCGTAATTCTCGAGCATGATTTGAAATACATATATATATATATATATATATACATTTAATCGAGTGAGTCAGCGCAAATGAATCTTGTTGACGTCCCGAAATAAAAACGATTACCGTGAGAATGCCGCGGTATAATTTAAATTGGATAAATTATGCATTCCTCAAACGTGTTTGCGCGCATCGACGGCGATGCACCTGCGTGCGCGTGCATTCCGCGCGATAAACGCCGGCCGTCGTTTATTGCCCGCTCGCTCCCGTGCCCGCGGGAGCTGGCGTAAAAAGGAGCACGTAAGTGCAAGTTTTATCGTACCGAGCCATTTAAATTCCATTTCGAATCCGCCGGAGCCTTGGAAGCCGCCCGAGGCACCTTCCGTCTCCGCGCTCCGGCGGAATCGAAGTGCGCGACGTCGCGGCGTCGTCGTCCCGTCGCTCTCCGCGCGATATTCGAGGGGGGAAGAAAAAAAAGGAGTCGAGGAGTCGCGAATTTGTTCCAAGACGGATCGCGGCACGCGACTTGCCCGCCGGAGGGGAGGGGCGGGCTCTCTCTCTCTCGCGCCGAGGGAACGGAATTCCATCGCGATGCAACGCTTCGCGAAATCCCACGTTGCTCCTAACTCGCACGACTCCCCGGGATCCGGTGTCGGCGGCATCGTGCAACCGCGCGCGCGCGTGCGCACGCACACAGGCCCTCGCGCCAGCCTTCGTACCACGCGCGACGACTCACACGCACGTGGGTGCGCGCGGTCGTTGCTGTTTAGTCCACCCCGATCCGGCGGTCTCTCTCCCTCGTCTCTCCTTCCCCCCCTCTCTCTCTCTCTCTCTCTTTCTTTTTCTCCGCAGTCTCGACTTCCTCCCGCGAGCGAGCGAGCGAACCAGCCTCGGTCGGCCTCGGCCGTCCTTGCCCCTTCTGCTAGGCATCACGTCTGTTACCGCATCTACTAGCTGGCGCGAAAACATCAACTCGCTCGAACCAACGGATTAGAAAGGCTCACGCGAGCTGGGCCCCCGTGGGTAGTGATGGGCCCGATCCGATTCTCGTCCGCGCGCCAGCGAGCAATGGATGAACCTTATAAGGGCAAAGGAGAGCGCGCGATAAAACTGTCGATTTCCCCTCCCCCCCCCTATTTTTTTTAAGGGAATGCAGCGCAACGAGACGCGCCGAGGAGGAATCTGTGGCAGCGTCGTAGTAGCGTCTCGAAACGAACAGATACCGCCGGCGAGCGCGATTAGGGTCATTGCAGGATCGTTTGATTTACGGCTTCGTTTCAGATGGAGAGTGAGATTGCGGATGAACCCAGTGAGAGATGATTCGTCGAAACAATGTCAAGTCGACGTCAATTTGCCAGTGGCACCTTCCGAGGGTTGCTCGACGAGTACCCGAAAGATACTTTAGGAGACAAATAGCACATAATTAAAATTGCGGAAACGTCTAGGCCGATGGCAGAGAACGATCCGTGGACTCTTAAGTCTGTCTAAGGACCTGAGCAGAATGGCTGTCTTGTACTCTTCAGACAATGTTTTATGTTTCAAAACTTTGTCTTAAAGTAACGCGCAATAACTGTCTTATGGCTTAAGAATATAAGACTGCCATTCTGCTCAGGCCCTTAGTCGTAGACGTAAGGCAAGACAGAGAAAAACTTAAGTCGTGAAAGTCTATTCTATACGACTTAAGCCTCGTCTACATAGAAGTCGTAGTCGTAATTCTCATGTATCTGACGGAATTGACCAATCGCAGTCGATTATTCTTACGACTACGACTCTGCGACTCGCATTGTAGACCACGCATTAAGTTTTTCTCTGCCTTGCCTTACGTCTACGACTTCGAATCGCAAATTGTCGACAAATTTCTTAAGCGTTTCGATTTGCTTATATAAAATAGAATAGACTTCTGGATGCAGAGAGCACAGTGTGGGTTAGGCTTTAAGACAGTCTTAAGTGCTTGCGGGTCGTTTTGTGGCATCGTTCTAATGCGTGGTCTACAATGCTTTGAGGCGTAAGATTCAAGAAATTAGTCAATCATAGTAGAATGCGAGGAGAATGCTCGACTGTAATTGGCCAATTTCCTAAATCTCACGTCTTGAAATCTCATTGTAGGCACCGCGCGTTACGCTTCGAGAAGTGGAAGCTCCAACGATCTCTCGCCTCTCGCCGCGTGTCGAGGCTCCGCTGGAAGTCTCGCGCGAGCGTAATCTCGCGTAAATCACCGTCGCGCGAGCCTCGCGGAAAATATGCTCGGGCGACGAGTGCTGCCACGATCGAAAGAGAGGCGAGCGTTCGCGACCCGGGCGAAAAATCAGGGTTGATCCCATCGCTAGAGCGACCCGTCCCGCCGCCTCTCCCCCCCGCGACCGCTCGCGCGTAGGAGGGAAAGTTACCGGGAATTTCTGCCCCGCTCGACCCCCCTGCCCTCCGCTCGACACCGGCGACGGAAGCTGCAACCTCGACGATCGGCGCCCGGTCACGAAAACGAACGGACGAACGGGCGGCGGAGGGAGACGGGACAAAGCAGACGCGCGTGCTTTTTGTACGGCCGTTAGGCGCGCGCGCGCGCCGGAAGAGCCGGCAGGAAACGGCCGCGAACACGATTCCAGCCACGTTCGCTTCGCGCCCGTCGACTCTCCTCGCGAGTTCAGGGCCTCGAATCGTGCGAGGCGTCGCGCGTCGTCCGTTTCGCCGCCATGGATCCTCCTCCCTCGAGAAATGGAATTCCGAGGAGCGTTTCGGATGCGACGTCCGACCGAGGAACGCTTATCGATCATCCGCCGTCGGATATCCTCGTCGATGATTCCGACGGAATTACGATGACTTGGTCGCGAGGAATGCTCGAGTCCCCGCCGAGTTTTTCGAAAGAGCCCGCAGGAACTTGCGTCGAGTTACGCGTGGTCTACAATGCGAGTCGTAGTCGTAAGAATAATCGACTGCGATTGGTCAATTTCGTCAGACACATAAGAATTGACCAATCATAGTCGACTATTCTTACGACTACGACTCTTTAAGCCTCGTCTACATAGAAGTAAAGTAAAGTAAGTCGTAAAGTCGTAGTCGTAAGAATAGTAGACTGCGATTGGCCAATTCTTATGTATCCGACGAAATTGACCAATCGCAGTCGATTATTCTTACGACTACGACTTTACGACTTCTACGTAGACGAGGCTTTACGACTTCTATATGGACGAGGCTTTAACCAATTTTAATGTCGCCGATGTTTGTACGTGGATCAAATGTACGGTTCGGGCGTTTACGCGGAAAATATAATCTGTATCGATGTAGACACAGGCACGATGTAAATTAGTTTAATGCGTCATGTAAAGAATGCGTAATAATCCATGGATCGTTTGTTGTCAGAATCGGGAACTTAAGTTTTGTACCGTACAAAACTTAATTTTGTACCCTACATTGCGTTCCTTTAATTGAAGAAATTAATCAGTCGGTCCACTTTGTAATATACAATTTCTCGAGGGTATCGTCCATCGATTCCGCCTGCAACATGCAATCTATCGAATATGTAAATGGTTCACCTAAACGCGACGTAAACAATACGCGGAGGAATCCATGGAATCGACCCCCCGCGCCGATCATCAGGGAGACCCGGCACGTCCGTGAAACCCATATGGCTCGCGAGGGACTTGTTTTCACCTTATCCTCGTTTATTAGCCTCACATTTCACGAGGCTATCTAGCTGCCCGAACCCGCGTCGTCGACGGAGAGTTCCGCGTATCGCGAGATCATCGGCGGACACGCATCAGCATGCGCGAACGCGGCGAGACCCGAGAAATACAGGAAAAGAAACGGCGGGACGCGCGGCGTTTACCTGCCGCGAGAGGAAGACGCCGCGCGAGATGAGTTATGGTCCAATTAAGTCTCCGCGTCCGACATCCACCGCTTCCCCCCCCCCCCTCTGCGTGTGTGCATTTGTGTGTGCGTGCGTGTATGCCTCTCTCCCTCTTTTGCCGATAAACATTAACTGACTAATGTCTACATTTAATATACTGACGATGGTATCTTGTAACGAAACTTAGCACGCCCCAGTAACGTCATTAGAAATATTACTTCCTTGTCGACACGCCGCGAGCGCGGAATAGTTTCCTTCCCGCACGTGCACTAAACACAGTTAAACGGCGGGTCGAAGTTAATTATCTCGCGGCGCGCCAATGTTAACAGTCGGCGCTAATGGGCTCGGATATCCGTGAAATCGCGTCGATAAGACGGTAGCAAGAAACCGCGTTTTCAAACACCAAAAAGGAAAGAGAACGAGCTTATATACCGCGGGGGATTTCTTTCCCCTGCCTCGCAAATGTGAGGACGATTGCTTTCACGATTATTATTCAGGCGTCCCCTTCGCTCTTCCGGGAACGAAACGCGTTTTCGTGAGAAATGCATTAAAGTTACGTTTTCTTTTTCCTAACAACGATTTCCAGCTCTATTGTGCCGGGGCCATAAAACGAACCTCGAAATGCTTCTCCCGGGCCAAGTGTTTCGTCTTCGAAGCCGCACCTTTTGTGTAAATATCCGCTCTGACTCGGTTTTGATTCACTCGATTGTCTCTTGTGCTCACTGAGAGCTCCTTCACCTTCTCCTGCAATCCAGCTGTGACTGCCGATTATTCTGTCATGAGGATTACTTCAAATTTATTGTTAAACATTCCGCACTTGTTACTCCCAAAAATTCCGAAAGCTATGTATCACGCAGTATTAATATCGAACTGCGCAGAGAGGCGGAATAGCGAAACCGACAGTTTGGGTTAAAGAAAAGGAGTTAAACATTTATTTAAGCCTGTTTGGCATCTTCTACCTGTGCGCTGACGCTTTTAGCGGCTCCGGGCTTCATTAGTTTCATGAATTTTCATACGAGCCTTCGGGGAATATATTTCCAAGGCGTCCGCCAACTTTAGGATTGGGTAAAAAGTTAAGTATCGGTTTCTTCCCGGAATAAACCGCCAGGTAGTTGAGGTATTCTTGACACCGATTATCCGGCCGAAGCCGGATAATCTGAAAAACCGACAAAATAACCGTAAAATACACTTCTAGGCGGTCATA